GACCCCGAGCTGCCAGCAGGCGTGGGCAGCCCCCACCTCCGCCAGCACTCCGAACCACCCCTTCCTTCCTCCTGCCTCCAGGGCCTGGTCACTAAGGGCAGGCGGGCTGAACACACAACACGCATAAGCACGGGACCAGCCCAGAAGCCCGCGGGCATAGGCCCCAACCATGTGCCAGCCGCTGGGAGGTGGGCGGCGGTGGTCAGGTTTGGAAGCGGGACCAAAAGGTCTCAAGGAGTAGCTGCACCTTCCATCGTGTCCAGCACACTGACCCTTGCGCCATTCTGGCCAGAGACGGCAGCCGGCTGCGCGCCAGCCCTGCTGCCCTGACTGAGGCGTTCAAACACTCCAGCAGCCGGTGCCACCCGGCGCGAGAGGGCCTCCGATCTCCTGCACAAGAAATAAGTCATGGAGCTTTCTCTTCTGACGTGAGCTTCCCTGGGAGCGGGAGGGAAGCTTCCCCATGAGTTCATCAGCCCAGAGAAAAGGACAAAACACAAAACATCTAGGCCTCGCTGGGGCCAGCCCTACATGACCCTGGGTTCTGCAGGTGGAGTTCAGGAGGGAACGGCCTACTCTGTCCTCTGAGACTTAGCGAGGCAGAAGGAAAATGAAGGGGCATCTTCAAGTGACAAACACCTGGAGTCCATGGTGCGATGGAACTGGTGCAGGTCCCAGAAGAGCAGTCCGAGGCTGTAATTCCAGGACAACCCTTTGAGGAGGGCTCTCTATCTAGGCCCAGCTTCCAAGAGCAGCAGGAGAGGCCCCCGAGAAGACACAGTCTTCAAGTCGCGCAAGCAGATAAACAGAAGGCTCTTTAAACGCCACAGGCCCCAGGCGCCAGGACTAATCCTAAAGGACCAATCTCCCACCCCCACCCAAAGACGGGAGCAGTGGGCGGAGTCGGTCTGCAGGGGGACTGGGCAGGGAAGGGACCTGGGGGCTAAGGGCCAGCGGTGGAGCGACACTGGAGAAAGGGGCAGCGGCCCCAGAAGGACAGGCAGCAGGACAGATGGAATCGGGAGCAGGGAGCTGTGGGAAGATGCCTGTCTGAGAACCACGCCCGCTCGGCCATCCAGCAGCCCCGCCTGCCATGCACCTGCTGGCATTAGCTCAACAGACAAGCTGAGGCTGCTGCAAGGGCCTGATGGGAAACAATCCTCCATTACCCGGTTTTCCTCTTTTGCCCCTGAAGCCTCAGTTTCTCTCCACTCGTTACAACCGCCTAAAGGAAGTGCCTTCCCTCGACAGCGGCTACTTCCTCAGCATAAACAGAAAAGAGCCCGGCAAGAAAACCCAGCAACGCAGGGCCCACACCCACCAGCGCTGTCGAGAATGTCCCGCCCTCGGCGGCGAGAGTCCCTACTTCCATCTCCTTGAACCTCAGCAGCCGCAGGCAGGGCCTCTGCTGGAGGGAACCGGGCTGGCAGGGCCCATTCTGCCAAAGGTGCCAGCCATGCGGAGAAAAGGTGGGGACCCTGTGGCCCCGGCGCCATCCGCCTACCTGATGCTTAAGCCCGTGGTCTGGTCCAGCCTCTCCCAGCTCTGCAGCTTCGTCAGCAGCCTCTGAAAGGACATGGAAGTGGAGCCCTTAGAGCGCTGTGCCCGTCACCTCCGTGCAAGCGCCGGGCCCTCCCACCTCCTCCACACACACACCTCAACCCCCAGCACGGCAGCACCACACAAAACCGACGACATCACTTCCCTGATCCTCCAGAACGGCCTGCCCTGATCGCTGAGCTAAAACGCAGAAACGCGCCCATTCGCTCCAAAGCAGACAGGTTGCTTCCCAACCTCTGAAGCTACACTGCGTGCTTAACGTCTCATTCATTCCTGGCTCCGTAACTTCAAGGTTCCCAGCAGGCCAGGACTGCGGGCTGGGGAAAGGGGTCGGGGGCAGACAGCCTCCTGAACGGTCCTGCAATAACCACCTGTGCCCCAGGGGGCAGACGCTGCCCACGGCCTTGTCGCCCATCCTCCAGATGCTCCTCAGGATGCCAAGCCCCAGGGCAGACAGACTTGGGCCGAGAGCCAAACCCCACCCCCCAACACACATGCACGCGCACGCGCGTCGAGCTGGGCCCCCGTGGCCGCTGGGAAGAACAGGGGGCAGCAGCGGTGGCCCCACCCGGCCCGCATGCCGGGCCTCCCACCCTTGTATTCTCACAGCCGTTCCACTGACCCACATCCCACATCGGAGTCTTGCTCCCTTCCGAGACCGCATGCCTTTGTCTGGCCTCCCAGTCCTTCCTGGGGCCAGTCCAGCGCCATTCAGCGCGCTCGTTCAGCCACTCCGGTACTTCCTGCCCCCGATCGTGCGCCGGGCACGAGACTGCTTAAGAAATCTATTACTACAGCTGACGCCGAGTCGGCGTGTACCACTCTTTAAGCACTTTACACTACCCCGTTTAATCCTCACAACCCTGTAGGGAGACACTCGTTCCTCGTTACACAGGTGGACAGAGAGGTTAAGTAATTTGCCAGGGTCACACAGCCAGCGGGCACGCAACAGCAGGGCTGGAAACCAGGCAGTGTGTTTCTACATGCAGAATCTTAACCAATTTCAAAAGAAACTCTATCCAGAGAAAAACTGCTGGACTCCAGAACCGTCTTTTCAGGCTAAGTGCCCACATCAGCCAACGCCTGAGAGGGATTTATGCTCCAGACCCACGATGCCTCAGCTGGCAGTGAACCCACTGTGGGGGGTGGGGGCAGCTGATGAGCACTCTGACCAGACTGCAAGCTACGGGGAGTGATGACATGGTTTACGCCGGGCAAACCAGAAAGGAAGGCGACTGAAGGTGACCACGGGGAAGCAGTGTGGAGGGACAGAAGGACCCCGGGCCTGGAGCCGGGAGGCCTTCGTGCCGGTCTGCTCAGCAAGCGAACGAGGATGCTTTCGGCACCGACGTCCATGGCCATCTCTACAACAATGCACAAAATGTCCCAATGAGTCCCAGCAGCAGCCACAGGGGAAGGAAACTCAGCACAGGTGTCTATTCACATCCACGGGTGGGAACAACGTCTGTTCCAGGTACCACAAGCCATCTCCTCTCTCTGACTCAGCATCAGTGCTACTGAAACAAACTACTACGAACTCGGTGGCTGAGAACAATACACGTTTACTGTCTTACAGCTCTGTAGGTCAGAAGTCCAGCAAAGGCCTCACTGTGCCAGATCAAGGGGTGGCAGGGCCACACTCCTCCTGGATGCCCTGGGGAAGAACCTGTTTCCTCGCCTGTTGCAGCCTCTAGAGGTGCCCACGTTCCCTGGCTTACAGCGCCTTCCTCCATTCATTGCCACCAAGAGCAGCAGGCAAGTGCTCCTCACCTCACGTGGCTCCGACCTCCTCCAAGCCCCTCCGGCCCCTGTCAGGACCTGTGAGCACACTGGCCCAGCTGGGGGCCAGCAGGAGCCCCAGGGGAGCCTCCCTGCCACAGCTAGGGGTCAGCACCCTTCGATCCCCTTTGTCCACAGTTCTGGGGAGCAGGATGGGGCTGTCTTTAGGGGTCACTATTCTGCCCACCATACTAGCCCAGCGGCTGCCACATTTCAGCTGAACAGCTGGAACGGAGGACTAAAACACCCAGGGTCTCCCCTAGCCAGCCACGGGGCACCCACGGGGACCAGCTCACCTCCTTCTCCAGCTCCAGCTCGACCAGGGCTTCCTGCATCTTCTCCTGCCGACCCAGCCTCCGCTGCAGGCCCTCCAGCTCCTCCCGGAGCAGCCCGTTGGTGTCCCGCATCTCCCTGGCAGGGCCAGAAGCAGTCACTCAAACAGCCGCACCGCCGGGGACGGGGCAGGCGCCCCTGGGGCAGGGGCTGCACCCGGGGAGGCCGCACACATTTTGCGCCGCCGGCGC